TTCTTATTCACCTTCTCTCGGTCTTGAGTCGGTCATTCCTGCTTCATTTGGATTAGACCTGATTGATGATTATACTTTCCGATGGTTTTGTCACAGTTCTAAAAATTAGTAAATCAGCAAAATTGATACATGCATGCCACACACCATAATTTTATGGTTATTATTTGCACGATCTCTGCTGTTTCCAATCATAATAAAAGATTCATAAGCCCAGGACCGATGAAGTTCGCAAATGAATGGTCTCGCTAGCAACCGGACGCACACAATAGGAAGGGATTTGTTTTAATTCATTTATTCTTTTTATTGCGAACAAACATCCAAAATCCTGCATAACAGTCTGTTGGCTTTCTGGTCGCCCGAGTGGTCTGACTCGAAAAAGTGTGGCGCCACCCTGTGATGCGCTAACCTCACAGCCCACGCGCTGCCCCGTACCTACGAATGGCGATCAAAGTAAAATTAGGGTGTGGCCGAGGATCTTTGGCCAGTGGGTTGGAATCGTCGAGGTGGAACGGGGGATTCTTGTTTCGAACCAAGGCGTTCCTCCAACTTGGGCCGTCGTTAATGGCAAGAGAGAAAGAGAGAGCGGGAACGAAAAAAGAGGTTATCTCGAAACGACCGGTTCTATCCGGTTTTGTTTTCGAATGCTTGCAGTCGGCCCAGGGAGCTGCAAGCGATATGCGACCCTGCCGACCATTAACAAAATCATAAGAAAAAGGAAGGGGGGTCGAGGGAAACGGAACTCACCGCTCCTTCGCGCTACGTTCAGGCTCACTTGGTAGCAAAAGGTCCCTAGAGGCACGAAGTGTTCATGCCTCGGTGTTGGACTCATTGAGTCCACGCGGGCGTCAGGGTGCAGCGTTGCTTAGTGCAGGTTGGGCCGGGGGGAACCCACGTCCAAAAATTAGCCGGGAGCGCACCCGCGTTGCAGGATAGTTATGGGAATCGAGCCGCACCTTCATATCCCAGGACTAATCTCTGCTAGGAACACGGATCTCCCTGGTTACACAAGTGGCAGTTAAATTGAGGCCGCCACGTGGTGTGCGCCGCAGACCAGGGTAACACTGTCAGATCAATGTAGTGCAGGATTAGGGAAGCGGAAGAGAATCGGTCAATCAACACGAACCCACTCTCTCCTATGTGGCAGGTCGTAGAAGGGTTATACAGGTGAATCTGCTCGGCTTGTCGCAGAGAGTTATGTACGTCCGCATCACAATACACGCTATCGTCATCTGCGATCAGGAAGGACAGTGGCGCGCTGCGAGGAACCGATGTAAACGTCGAGCACGGGCAATGGTTCGCGCTCACGTTTGCCGACATGCACGCTGACTCCATACACGGATCATTGGAACCCACCTTACCCTTCTCTCTCTCTCTCTCTCTCTCTCTCTCTCTCTCTCTCTCTCTCTCTCTCTCTCTCTCTCTCTCTCTCTCTCTCTCTCTCTCTCTCTCTCTCTCTCTCTCTCTCTCTCTCTCTCTCTCTCTCTCTCTCTTTCTCTCTCTACGGTAGTCCAAACGTTGGCGCAGAGATCCGTCGTCGTGGTCATCGTTTAGTAATTAGGAGCGAGTGTGACCACATCTCAGTCGTGGAGTTATCAGTCGCGTTGTGGAAACGCGAGCGACTGACATCCACGGCAGTCCAAGATGGCCGTGGGGCGACACCCGCCCAATTGATTCGGATCCTTTGTGCGCACAGGGGAGAGGAAGGAAAGAGTTAGCCGCAATCCCCGCTCCCACACGAGGCGCCTGGATCAGTATGCATCCATATAGATGGTCGACGACCCACGTTCCCCATAATGGCGCCTGTAAGCGCCCACACATCTACTCATTCACCTATCTTGGACAATGAGATATTCAGCATCCATAGACCCTCACACCACAACATGCATACAACTGAATACCTGTACTTCGGGACTTTGCACACATCAGACTTGGACAAAGCAGCAATGAAGATAAAAGTGAGTCCCTCACTTATTCCAAATTTCACACTCGACTGGCCTCCCTCAGGCACAGCCCCCAATCAATCCGAACTTCTACCAACCATAGCCACCACAAGGCCCTGTCGCTGGCAGCGTTCGATCTCAACCACCACTCCGTCACTCTGACTGTCTACCCCAAGTCTATCGCTAAGCCCGTCCCACGTCGTCACTCCGCCCGTCCTTGGGCACGTCATGCCTGTTCAACGCCGCGGACCTCGCGCATAGCTCGCGCAACATCGCAGCCAAGATCAAAGAGGAGGAGGGGAAGGGCCTGTGAGAATGTATAGCGTGGGAGGCGGCGGTGTGGTAGCGCGAGGTGAGGGTAGCAAGGGGTGTAGATGAGCAGGACAGAAGAAAGGCCAAGGTTCCAGGAGGATCGAAGGAGGCGAGTCGAACGTTCTGTGTGATTGGGGTGGTCGTTCAAATGGTGAGCGCTTGCCGCACATTGATCCGACCATCCCAACTTCACGGCCAATCGCTCGCGGGAAGACGAAGAGGTATGCAAGAAAGGAGCGTGCAGCAAGAAAGGGAGATGGCGCGGAGATGCAAAGTGAGGGAACGAGTTTACACAGCGTACAAAAATTTGAAAATCCACCGTGCGCGCATCATGATGCAAAAATTAAAATTCCCGCCCACACTAACTCCTAACCGTCTCTTGGATTTCTCGGCGTGGTCGCTAACTGTCTGCGCGGAGAAATCATAAGTTTCTGTTCCGCCCAGACCCCGCCTTTCCCGATCACTCAGAAACCGTACTTCAAGGCTTACGTGGGATTTTCCCTTAAGGGTGCGGGAAGCCGCTGAGTACGGATCCTGGCTTATCACAGGCCTCCGAATTCTTCAGGAGCTGGCGTTTTGCCTCATTTCTGAAGCCGCAAAGGTACTGGTGGTTTAAGGTTGAGAATGTCAACAGCTTGAGAAGATGCATCAGGCAAGTCTTGTTGTTCGTGGTAAGAATTTGTTCTTGTAAATCAATTTCTTGCATAGTATAGCTTAGAGTAATGAATACTCTAAGCTAATTGGGAAGAATAGTGTTACCTTGGGCAAGATCATAAAGTTCTAGGAGGATATCCCCATTTGGGAATCCTTCTACGATGTTACCATTTTCTGGGGGTTGTTTCTGATGGCCACCCAATCATTAATCTCTAGTTTAGGTTCTCCACAGAAAAATCAAACCCAATCCAAGTCAGGGCCGGGTGTGACGGGGCACCATTGATAAATTAAATCGGCGGCCTCCGACGCGTTACCAGCCTCGGAAAGGGGCCCGCGGCAGATGTATGGGTGTACTGGTGGTATACCGGTTTGAGAGTGTCCACAATCATCCTGGCATGATCCTGGTAACAGCCATAAACCTAATCCATCCAATGTCTTTCCAAGACTGTGTTCTTTTCAGAGAAAAAGGAGACAGCTTTCCAAGACTGTCCTCTTTTCAGAAAAAAAAGGAGACAACATTGAAAATTGTCTCCTTTTTTCTCTGAAAAGATGGATTAGGTTCATGGTTGTTAGCAGGATCATGCCAGGATGATTGTGGACACACTCAAACTGTTAAACCACAAGTACACCCATTCATCTGTTGCGGGCCCCTTTCAGAGGCTGGTAATGCTTTGGAGGCCGGAGGCTGGCGGCCGACGATTGAATTTACCAACGGTGGCCCCGACTTTTCTGTTGGTGGTGACCGGTTTCTTTCTGCAAGGCTGGGGCGTTATGAATTATAGTTTGAAGTTTGAACCCTGTAGAACTTGCCGGATGGATTATCAATGTCAAAAATTGTCTCCATTGTATGAATTGGGTTACTGGCTGTTCGTAGGATGATTGAAGACACACCCATAACCATTGAGTGAGAATCCATGAGCTCATAGTCTGAACCCTGTTCAACTCACCGTATAGATGATCAATGTCAAAGCTTTCTCCTTTTTCTGTCTGAGAAGAAGAAAGTCATAGAAAGACATTGAATGGATTGGGTTCCTGGCCCTTAGCTGAATACTCATCTCGACCAGACAACCGTTGAAAGAGAATTCATAACTTTTTTGTTCAAACCCTGTCGAACTGGGATAACTTATTAGTGTGACAGTCGAGAGTTCTTCCCCCTCCTTTGTCCCCCAAAAGGAAGAAAAAGAGATTGGATGGATATGACGTCAATGACTCGTGGTTTCTTTTCTTTGTTTTTCAATTTTCTTTTTTTTTCTTTTGTCATTTTGTTATGCCGGGTTAATTAATGACCCTTGCCGCATTCTTATTAATGACATGATTTCCACCAAGTCCAAGCAATGCATGTCACCCATTGGATCCAGTGCGTTGCAACAGCAACCATTGGATCCAGTGCTTTGCAACAACCGCTAACTCTGTGATCATGTGGACACTACCTGATTGTGGAGGAACCAGAGGAGGAGGAGGAGGAGGAGCTGCAACCGATCCTCCATCTTTTCATTCCTCACATCTCTTAGCGAGGTGCGCCTAGGCCACTAAGACTTTTTTGACGTATCTTAGCGCTATTAGGGTCAGATTCTGTCAAAATGTAGTAATGTGGTGGCGGAGGAGCCACAGGAGGAGGAGGAGGAGCTGCAAACGATCCTCGATCCTGTTATTCCTCACATCTCCAAGTGAGATGCACCTCGGCCGCTGGGACTTTCTTTGACGTATCTGAGTGGTATTATGCACTGATTCAGTCGAAATGTAGTAATGTGGTGGCGAAGGAGCCAGAGGAGGAGGAGCCGCAAACGATCCTCTATCCTTTCATTCCTCACATCTGTCAGTGAGAGGCGCATAGGCCACTGGGACTTTCTTTGACATATCAGCGCTGTTATGGCTAGATTCAGTCAGAATGTAGTAATGTGAGTATACCCTAGAAAGGGAGGGATTGTCGAGGGTGCTGGAAAATAAAGTGAGTGAAGGGACGACGAAATGGAAATGCATTTGAGCTTCAGTTGTTCGTTGAAAGAGGGGGAGAAGGAAGAGGAGGGAGGGGCGGGGGGGCAACAAGAGGAGGTTCATGATTTGCACCCTTGTCTGCCTCTCGTAGAACGAATTGTTTGAAAGTTTCGGGACCCCCAAAAGAAACAGCAAGCTCCGTAACGAGGAATGGAGGCAAGGGATAGGGCAGTAGACAGCAAAAGCACATCCACACTTTCTTTTTTGAAGCCCCCACTCCCTTATGAGGGAGCCTCCACTTCCGAAGGTGATAGGAGCATCCTTCATAAGCGGCGCCTGCCCCAATTAAGAAAGATGGCTCCAGTCTACGGCACATCCACGCATAATGAAGGGTGGGGATGTTGAACAACGACCGATCAAGGATACGAGCACCGTCTTGAAAACTTCATTGAAAAGTTGAAACTTGAAAACATACTTAGGGAGCCCTGGAAAGTGGGCCGAAAGAATTCCCTCAGCTCGCTTGGAAAAAGCTCACGCTATAAAATTGACCGCCAATGCCCACATATATTGATTGAATTGACGCGGAACGCTGTTCTACAATAGCACTGTCTTAATGTACCAGACAGGAGATCTTATCCTACTCTTCCATCTTCATCTCGACATTCACCTTCACCGTCATCTTCATCTTCATCTTTATCTTCATCTTCATCTTCATCTTGGCATTGACCTTCATGTTTTATTCATTGTGTTCTTCGTCGTTGTCTTTGCTTCTCCGACATAGGTAATGTAGTCAAAGCCTCGACAACCAATCAAACTCCGGATGAGAGAAAAGTTCAGAAAATGCTACGCAGCGAGAAAAAGAGAATTCCAGCGAACCCTTTAAATTTCAGTTTCAGCCAGTTTCTTCCTTCACACTTTTAAAGCTCTTTTTCTTCGTATCCATCCAATTCCAAATTCCACTGACAGAAGCAGAGCAATGATTGCGACGAAAAAGGAGGAGGACAAACTAGACCAGAAAGTTGCCCGCTCTCCTGCTTCTTGCTCCTCGCCAAACAAACGGCCAATCAAAAAAATAATAATAATTTACGTTGAGATAAACGCACTCACACTTGCAATTGATCCCAAGAATAGATCATCCCGGGACTTCTCGAACTGTGATTCTCGCCAGTCCGACGACAAGCCACGTACCGGACGGTGCTAGCGCAGCTAGGCCAGGGCCCAACCAAGCAGCACCGGTCAGCCACCCAGCCGACGCACTGAGCAATCACATGACCTACTCCGAAATCGACAGCACGTGCTACGTGGGTTCGAACCAAGCCAAGCCGAAAGAGACCACACGAGCTAGCTAGATGACCTGCCCTGCAACCATAAGCAAGGGCCTATACCTGTCTCTTATACACATCTAGACAGCACGTGCTACGTGGGTTCGAACCAAGCCAAGCCGAAAGAGACCACACGAGCTAGCTAGATGACCTGCCCTGCAGCCATAAGCAAGGGCCTATACCTCTCCGTTTCTCTCTGTCCCTCTCTCTCTCTCTCTCTCTCTCTCTCTCTCTCTCTCTCTCTCTCTCTCTCTCTCTCTCTCTCTCTCGATCTTTCTATGGCTTGTGCACGATGAAGCTCGCGCACTGCACCTGGCGCACGTTGTCGAATCCGATGACACGGATGTAAACGTTGGGGTATTCTGTCTTGCACTGCTGGATCTCCGCCAGGACCTGAGAGGGGTCATTGCAGCCAAACATGGGGAGCTTCCACATGGTCCAGTACCTCCCGTCGTAGTAGGTGGGCCATGACCCGTTGGTGCGGGTGATATCACCAGCCTGGTCGAACTCGATGGTGGGGATCCAGCCGTTGTTGATCAGGTACTGGATCTGCTTGGCAATCTCCGTGTCACTCAGAGGAGGGAGGTAGGACAGCGTCTCAAACTTCTTGTTGTTGTAGGGGTTCCACACCTGTACAGCCAATCGCCCGGACAACCACAGACATATCCACGTGAGCCAGCCACACCTCACAATCATTCCCATGGTCTACAAGCAATCATCCACATAATCTCCCAGCAACAGTATCCCTCACAACTCTCGCCAAACTCCATCATCTCTCTCTCTCTCTCTCTCTCTCTCTCTCTCTCTCTCTCTCTCTCTCTCTCTCTCTCTCTCNTCTCTCTCTCTCTCTCTCTCTCTCTCTCTCTCTCTCTCTCTCTCTCTCTCTCTCTCCCCACACACACACACACACGCTTATTTGCTCACTCGCACAGGAGAGATGCTGCTTCGCGAAGGGAGCATCATAGCAAAGCGGTGACAGAGCGGACACTGCGAAGACAACGAACGGCAGAAAAGAAGGGCTACCCAGAAACTAGCACTCGCCATAAAATGCGTGAGGTGGATTATACTCAGGGCTACCCAGAAAGCTAGCACTCGACACAAAACGAAGCAGTGGATTATAATACTCTCTCGCGCTTTATCCGGTGCAGGGAGGGGGGGAAAGAAGGGTCTGCTTGCCGAAAACGTGCTACGAACAGCTCGTCGACGAGAGAATCGAACTCGTGGACAAAATGACTCGTATTGCGTGTATCAATCATTATGCTCGAACTCGTCTACAAACTTGCTCACATGAGGTTATCCATCATTATGCTGAAACTGTTGTGAGTATTCTTTTTTTGGTACGTGAAGACAAGCTGCGGTAGAAAGAGGACTTAGAGGAGGAACACAATCAAAGTCGCTTACGCATAGACTTGTTTGTTTGACTTCTGTCAGTCTAGTTTTCCAAGTGATAAGCAGCTGGCTAGTGAGACAAGCGTTCTCCTGTACGCAGTCCAACCGTGCCAAGCTATGCTCTGACAACGTGGAGGCTAACTCCAACGATCTTCACGGCAAGCGGCAGAAGCGCGCCAGCCCATTCCGCCTACGAACACGTGTCATCCACGCAGTGCGGAACTCTCAGCCTTGACCTAAAAAATGGGCCTCGCCACTCATATCTCAAGCCCAATAACACTACGCTCAGCACATTAACACGACGTCAGACGGCAAGACGCTGGACGAGGTTCACGTGTATCCAGGGTTACCGTAACGAGCATCGAAGAGGGTGGCGCTCTCAATCAACGACAAGAGAAGGAACCAAGACTAGGTAACAATAGAAAACGGAGGACGCAACAGCTGAGGTCCGACTGTCTGAAAGGAAGATTGCAGCTCGACAAAAAGGAGAACAACGACCCATTGGCAAGCGAAGATGGATGCATTGGTTGTTCATCCGTGTAACTTGAAAGAAGGAGGCGGGAAACGATAAGAGGAGTGGCCGGTGATGGCGGGGAGAATCGGAAGAAGAGGAAGAAGCTAAGATGAAGTGAAGTTACGCGGAAGTCACGGTGGCGATGGACCCAGCTTACGTTGGGAGAAAAGGCGGGGGCCGGAGAGAGGTGAAAGTGAAGAAAGAGGGAAGGGAAGAGCGACAGGGACACATAGAGAAGAAAAGATTTTCTCTAGACAAGAAGATGAGGAGGAGGGATTAGGAGAAAGAGAGCAAGCAGGAGAAAGCCAAAAAAGCCGGCGAAGTTTCCAGCATACTGGAGAGAGGGGGGAGACTCCAGCATACTTGAGAAAGGAAAGGCAGCGAACCAGCAAGTGAGACCTTGCCGCGAGGCCTCGCTACATTGTGTGCTTGAGAGAGAAGGGAGTAATAAACAGTACCATCGAGTAAATGTAGATTGCCGGACTCAAGCAGACAAGGAGACAGTGTGCCGTTGAATCGCCGGCTCAACGTGGAGGACCCAGCGATAGCGAGAGCAAGTACTGCGATCGCAGGTTTCGTGCAACAGGGAAAGGAACCACTAGGAGACGACGTGACGAGAGTCGGAAACAAAACGAACAAAAAACGAGTAGAGCAAGTAGGCAAACTGCTAGCAGGAGTGGCACGTGAGCGCCATGCAAAACGGGGAGGAAGCGCACGACAAGTGGTGAATGTCCAACGGACCACTCCAAGAACAAGGTGGGGGGCGACAGCGATGAGCCAGGGCGAGCTGACGAGGGGAGGAGCTGGCATCCGAGAGAGAGTAAGGAAACACGATGCGAGCGACGAAGCAATGCCAGTGTATCGCTCTGTGAGGCAATGTGACACTGTGGGGCAGTGCGACTCCATGCGAGGCAGTGTGTATGAAGCGTGCGGCAAAGTTCCCCGAGAGCTTCAGACAAGGTGTTCGACAACATAAAAGCAATGACCAAGGAGAGACCATGAATGGGACAGCGTAATGCAGTGAGCGAGCAACGCACCCTGAGGAGCTGAAGATGCTCCGGCACTGAGAAAGAGTCGTGTCTGGAAGAAGATAGCCTTGGACCGCATGTGATTGCATGAGAGAGCAAGAGAGGGAGGGTATCAGAAGCGTGGTCCTGTCGCAGACTCTATTCGTGTCGCTGTCACACATCCATTGCTAAGCGGGCAAGCGCCCACAGACAGAGAGAGAGAGAGAGAGAGAGAGAGAGAGAGAG